TGTGTGTGTGTGTGTGTGTGTGTGTCTGAGATTATATTGTCACAGTCATTTGTCTTTGACTCCACTTTTCCAGACCTCTCTTCACTCGCTATCAAGCTCCGTCCTCGAAGAGCAGCCTGGTCCAGCTGGGCCTGGACGATAACAACCAGATCAGAGTCTATCATTACTGAGGACATTAGGACCAGTTCAGTCCTGTTGTACCGTGTCTGTCACTGAGGACTTTGACTGACTTTAATGACTGTGTCTGCTTTGAGCTGTGACGTTTACATGCAGGGCCTCACATGAGGTTCCAGGTTTCAGTGTAAAGGTTTTCAGGGAAAGTCCGGCCTTCTCTGGTGTGATTGGAGGAAGAGCTGACAGAAGAGGATGTGGTACATTCAGGGAGCCACATGTCACAGAGGCCTGAGGACTTTATCCCCCTGATTATATATGGCTTTGAGCATCGGACCACTTCTTAAAACATGTTTACAGATCTTAGCTTCACGCCAGACCTGGGCCAAAAACATTTTAAATGTTCAGTTCACAACGATGTCAATGACAGAATATTCGGAGAAAAAATTCAATTTTGACAAAAATGTAATATTATAAGAATAAAGTTATAATAATTCAAGAAAAAAGTAATAGCGCCAATGTTGAAACGAGGAATGTAAGCATGTTGTTCAGTTATATTTTAGTATAAGATTCACAAACTAAATATTTAAGCTTTTGGCACGTCATTGTCACGCAGTGTCAAGACTTTGAAGAGATTTTACAAGAGAAGTGTTTTTGTAGTTTCTCAAGAAACTTACAGCGAGTTTAATATTTCATAAACATATTTTTTTAACCTTTTCTCGAAATATTATGACTTTATTCTCACAAATCTTTCTCTGCCGTGGAAGTCAGATGGGAGTTGGTTACTGAATGTTGGACAATCATAGAGAATCATCCTCATGTCTACATATGAAAAACGTCACACGTCTAATAATACTTTACTTTTAGTTTACATGTCTTCACCTCTCAAACATGGATCTAGCTCAGCAGGTGTCGTGAGCCATGACCACAATATATTGTGTAAATTCTGTATTTTTTTATGAAATATTTTAATAAATCTAGTTTTATATACATATACTTACAAATGTCCTGTGTACTTGATTTACCCTAGTGCTCTTGTCGTTCTCTTTAGGTTTTCTGTTATGAAGCTGCACGTTCGTGGATGATGATTCAAAGGTCACTATGGCGTCATCACTGAGCGGCCAAAAAACAGCAAAAGGAAAAACAAAATCTGAAAATGACACTTTTATTTAGTAACTGCTCATTGCACCGACATTGACATTAAAATCTGCCTTTCAAACAGAACAGTGCAAAATATACCTTTGCAGTCGCGAAGTAAATACAATCATTGTCATCAATGTTCTCTAACGAGAAAGATGGCGAGCTGAAGGAACCGACCAATCAGAGCACAGTATGTGATTAGAACATTAAAGGCCACTGACAGACTGGACAGGATTCATGTTGTCACAATGTTTGTAAACACACACACACACACACACTCACACACACACACACACACACACACACACACACACACAGCATAGAAACAGTAATTTCAAAATGCATTCTTGATTTGTAGGTCAATAGTAATGTGGACGGTATAAAATAAGTTAATATTTCTCTTTAAGCAATTGTTTACATTGTTATCTTCATTGTCAGCAGTAAGTAAACAGCAAGTACAACAGTTATATCGACGGCGACAGCGAGAGGACAAAACACTTCAGCATCGCTCCACGTTGATCCAGCGCTTCATTGGCTCGTCATTGGCACATTAGTGTCTGTACAAGTGAAAGGGGAGGGTCTACACCCCTGCCCTGACTGGCCGTGAGAGGTGGCGATACGCCCATTGAAAGCCTGGGAAAACACAAGCTACTGGCTGTGCTTTTTGAGGAGATGAAGGAGACGCAAACGGAGCGAGAGGGAGGAGGGCAGTAAGGCAGAGAAGATGAGCTGAGCTCCTCACCACTGGAGAACCGGCAAATCTAGAATACAAAGATCTTGTCTCTCTGGACGGTGTCTACGTCATCATCCATGGTCAGCAGGACCTGAGAGGGACAGGAGACGTGTCTCATGGGTCAAGTTGGTAAAGTATAGTTCCACAAACATTTGAAGTCATCAATGCAACCTACCAACATTTTGGTCATTTTTAGCAGCTTTTTCAAAGAGGATAATCCCACTTATAAATCTTAGGGTGCCGTAACACCGATCTCAGGTAAAATGTCATTAATTTTCTCCATTCAAATGGAACGGCGCTCCCTTAATTGCAATGTGAAACCAAAGCTAACTGGATCAAATGTGTAAGCTGGTGAGACAGGGCAAAAGAAATGTACGTTGTTCTTTATTTTTATATGAACGTTAATATAAATTTAGTAATATTACTAATGGTCCTGCAGCCACTTCTCCAATTGCTTAGTCTTTTAAATAAAATTGTGCGTTTGCTGCACTCCACTAAAATACACACAATACACTCGATCATACCAGGAAGGATCCAAACATGGCGATGGACGAGAGAAAGTGCCAAATGTCGTGGTCGTCAAAGAACGAAAGCAGGATGCAGTCTCTGTTGTGCTCACGAGACTCAGCTGGTGTTTTCTATAGCAGCCGAGAGAAACACACAAAGTTAAACGCTGTATAATGAAGTTTCTCCTGCTTTGCATGTGAATGTGTGTGTGTGTGTGTATATTACTGACCTGCCAGGTGCTGAGACCCTGGAAGAAGAAAAAGAGCGCAAATCCCCACACCACAGCCGTGAAGAGAATACACACCAATGCCAGACACTGGATTCTCTCTCCACTCCGCAGCTAAACACACACATGCAAAATAAAACTAGCTTTAGACGTACAGAGCGTGTTTTTAAAAATACATCTAAATGTATGGATACACTCAAGCACACCTTCATGATTATGTAGAAGGCAAAGTAGAGCAGCAGGTTACAGATGGCGATGGCCAACAGGTAGGAGGCAAAGTCATTGGGTCTCTCTATGAGGCCGTAGGCAGCTCTGTGGAGAAAGAAAAACAAAAAGATGTCTTCGGTCCTTTTCTGCTTCCTGAATTTATATTGTTCCTACATTTCCAGAGAAACCGTGTTGACTTACAGAGACCAGTTGACTATGTTCCCCATCACCAGTAGAACCATGCGGTCCTGAAAGACAGACACAAGCACCTCATCTTGACTTTGCAGAACACAATCCCATGATGTCCCAGGAGTGTTTAAAATGACTTGGAAATTAATGCTTGAGGCACAATCGTGTGAATAGTGAAACACACCACCCTGAAAAAAGAATCTACCAAATATGCATATGTACACACACTGGTTATCTGTATTATAATGGCTCCAGGAAGTGCAGTGTCTGATTGGGTGTGATTTTGAAATGTGATAGGTTTAATATGAATAACATTTGACCACACAGACCAGCGCTATGTAGCAGTCGTGGGGAAGAGGGCAGTGTGATTTCAGTCTGTGGAACGAGTTGATCATTTCTTTATCTACATCCTCAAAAATCTGTTTGAAAATTTGATTATTTCTATTTCACCATATCGGAATAACACAGACGGGTGTCATAGATGCTGATCTCCATCATGGTCACTGCATTCATAGAATCATGTCCTCTTTAGCAATTTGTCTACAAAGTTAAATGATTCATTTCAACATTTTTCACTGTTTCAGCATCAACTAACTCAAACAAATACGATGATTCCTTGTTTCGCAGGATGATGGGGGAAACTGCATTAGTTTATGTTACCATGACAACTCTTCAGTATAATGATGCACAAGTCAGTACTCACAATGTACATAGGTCCACTGCACTGCCTGATGCAATCTGTGTAGATGACGTGCACCATCCTCCGCATGATCCCAGAGTCTGACACACACACACACAC